CCCCCCATTTATTTTACTGTGTGTTTATATAGTTGATAGCTTTTTAGGCTCTGCCTTTTGTTTATGAGGCATCTGAAAAATTCCTGAAGCAATACAGAAGGAAAATAGTGATTATTTCACAGAATGAGAGAATCGATTTGCTTGGAAGAGACCTCTGGGATCATTGAGTTCAACTTTTGCCCTAACACCACCATGTCAACGGTTTAAAATAAACAAACAAAAAAACCTCACAACAACGCCTTGTAAACAGCTTCTAAGTTTGACTCTAGCGTGTTTTCTGGTGCTCAGATAAAAGACCTCTCCGAGGTGGAACATGCTGAGAAAATGCTAAGATGGATTTCTAGAGTGGGATTCCTTGTATGTAAGTGTCCAGAGTTTTGACATCTGGCCCCAGTGAGACCTCTGCAGTCTGTAATCACAGATGGGAATTCAGATGCCCTCTTATCCCACCCATCCTCAACGTAGGCTGGGGTGAATTACCTCCTGGATTTGACTGTAATCCCGTAAATAGCATAGGAGGTTTGACAGAGCTCAGGGGAAGCAGCCTGTGGCTAGGGCTGGCTCACAGCATGCTGCCTGGGTCACACCTGCAGAGGACCAAATGACAAGGTATGCAGAAAATACACAGTGAATTATGGTTAGGGGTTTTCTCACTGAAGAGTTACCTTTGAGGACCCGTGTTAGTCAGGACGACAATTCCATTAAGAGGATTATTGCATACTGTGGTGATGTTTTAGGCTAAGTTTTGAAATCTTCATTATGTCACGTGCTCCACATGGAGGCTTAAGTCTTCTGGAAGCCCAAAGTTACATGATAATTTCAGAAACTTGAGATCATCTTGTGTGTGCTGTTTCAGTGTTGTGAATCTCATAGCAAAATGCCAGCAGTGTGTTTCAGGCTTGTATTTAATGATGTGGAAATTAGCTATTCTTTTTTCCCTGAGTAGTTAGTGCAAAGTAATAAGTGTTTTGCGGCTTTATGTTCTGTGGAAATCATTATTTCCTTCCTCCTCATTTTATGTTTTTAGGTGAAGCCAAATGGCTTCTGCAGAGTGGGATAGTAATTCTTCTTCCCCATGGCTATGACGGTGCAGGCCCTGAGCACTCGTCCTGCCGGATGGAACGGTTCTTACAGGTACCCCACCACAGCTCTCAGATTCACATATCCCCCATCACAGCCCTGGAAATCAATGCCCTGGGAGTCTTGCCACAAAATGCCCTGTTCCTGGTATACCTGTGACATCAGAAGCTGGAGACATACCACGATCTTACCATCGTGATGAGATAGGAATGGGCTAGGCTGAAAGTAGAGAAAGAAGGGGTACTGTGATGAGAAGGTATGGGTCTAAAAGTGGCATGGAAGCAATTTTGGTTTAAATGCTGCCACAACAACTCTGGTGCAAGATGCTGATTGAACCTTGTAAGAAATGCTTGCTGTTCCTGTTGCATCTCTGTCACCTGCCCAGGTGGGTGTGTGGTAACATGAAATTTCCTAATGTGAGATTTGCGTAGTGCTTACAGCGGCCCTGTGCCCTCTGCGGACAGCCCTAGTGGGACATGCTTCAGTACTGCCTGCTGTCTTTTTTCCAATTGCTGCTCCTCAGCAGTGTCGCCGTACCACAGAATGAGTCCAGTTGCAAGACAGTATTGCTGAATTGCAAATAGCAGACCTCTAATGAACACTTACAGAAAACATTTTGGGGGTTGGCATCAGAAACAGGCAGCCATCCTCTTGAGCAAACCACTCACAGATCTGTCCACTATGCAGAGATGATAGAAACAGAATGCTGGACACTATTAAATATCAGTTAGTAAATCTGTGGCACAGTTTTACGAAAAAAAAAGAAAAAAAAATCCGCTCTTTTGCCCTTGTGACTATAGTGAGTAAATGAATGCCTTTTCATCTGAGTAATGGCTTAAGGAGGGGTTTGCAGCATGTTTAGAGGTGTGCTGCCACTCTCATGAAGAAGTTGTGACCTCTCCACTGTGAAAACAACTGTCAGGCCCTGGTTACAATATGCTAGAAGGAGGCCATTCAGATATAATCTTACCGGTTAAATGCTAAAGGTATTTCTTCTCTGAAGTTGTTCTTCCTTGGCAATCAATGTCTGAATTGGGATACTTGCTCTTGTATTCTTATATTAGTCAGCATGCCTTATGTGTCTGGATTTTCTCTTGCATATTTGGCTCGCTGCTTGCTTCTTGACAAGGTATTGCTGTGTTTTCCTTATATAGTTGTGTGACAGCTCAGAAGAGGGAGTCGATGGGGACCAGGTCAACATGTCAGTTGTGCATCCCACCACCCCAGCACAGTATTTCCATTTACTCCGGCGGCAAATGGTCCGAAACTTCAGGAAACCTCTCATCGTTGCTTCTCCCAAAGTGTTACTCAGGCTCCCTGTAAGCTGAAAACTTTATTTTCCTTTTTCTTCTGTTTTGGTTTTTTCCCGTCTCTTCTTCCTGCTCTTCTGTGTTCTCTTCCTTCTTTCTCTTTGTTATTCCTCTGTATTCTCCAGTCTCTGTTTTGGGTCACATCAATGGGGTTTTGCCTGTTTGGGGCTGGATATGTTGATGACTAAATCTGGGTGGAGGTGAGCTGGAAGTAGGGTTGAGTCTAAGTCAGGCAGTGTTCTTGGGAATCGTACAGTCCCACCTTTCATTGGTGGGAATGGGAATAGTAGGGAGAGGGAAGACTGTATCTTTTGTACTTACCAAAAACCTCTTCTCCCCAACTCTGGCCTGAGGGGAAAGGTGGCAAGATTTGGTAACTTCCAACTCTCCCCCATGTAGGCTGCTGTATCAAGTTTTGAAGAAATGGCCCCAAGGACAACATTCAAGCCTGTCATTGGTGACTCCTCAGTAGATCCTAAAAGGTAGCTCTACTTTCTTAGAGGAAAAGCTCAGAAAGAATGTCCTGTCCCTTTCTCCTACCTAACAGCTCAAGTTTGAGATGATGTGAAACAGGTGACTTTGGGCGGAAAATGTTTTATGGTGGGTGACTTAATTTTGTTTCTCTCCTTTTCTTCTGCTTGCTTGTTGGTAGTTACCACATCTGTCTGCGTAATAGTGAAGTGTTCAGGCTTTCAGCCCTTGCCCCCACAGGGAGGTAGTGACCACAGTCACTAATCTGGTGGGCACTGTTCTGCAGCATGCCTGTTAGCTAACAGTCATGGGAGCAGCTGTTACGTGAAGAGATGTGGAATTTTTATTCTGGTGTTGGAACACCTGAGCCGATGAAGTACAGTTGGGTCAATAACAAATTGCGTGTGTTTATCTCCCTCCCTCCCTGCACATATTCTAAAGAATCCTGTTCACAATGGGCGATTCTGGCCTTCATTTTTTTTCCCTATTAACATTCCTATCTGGTCCTTGTGCCAGTAGTACCCAAATCTGACAGCATCGCTGATGTTTGCATCCTCACCCACAATCAAAATGCTGGAAGTATCTTAGCATCTTGGGTTTTGTAAGTGGAATGGTGAGGCACAAAGGGTGAGGTTTATCTCCTTGCCTTTTTCCAGTAAGTTTAGGCAGCCAGGACCTCTGATTGCTGGAGGGCATTGCGTATCTCCAACAGGCAGTTCCTCTTTGGCATGGGAGAGAATTGTCCTCCGGAGGTACTTCTCTCCCCCTCCAGTTTATTCTCTGCGGAGAGTGCATAGATGACTAGCTTCGACTAGGTGTGTGATTTATAGATAGTTAAAGCTGAGAGAGATTAATCCCATTGTAAGGTAACTTTCCCAGGGTTACTGAAGAAACAGGACCTCTGGGCTCTGGCATACTGTGCCCAAAGGTTAGTTTGCCAGCTGTTGGAGGGGAGTGGGAGGGAAGGGAAGGCAAAGAAGAGAAAAGATGGTCAAGGATAGTAATTTAGCTTCATAAAGATGTTTTTTAAAGTTTGGCTGGTTGTTTTTGTTGAAAGTGTGAAATTGTTCTGCATGGAGTCTCTGTAAAACACTATACTTGGAAACGTTATTTTTCTTTAGTGTCACCCAAGTGGTGCTGTGTTCTGGTAAGCATTACTATGCTTTGGTGAAGCAAAGAGAGACACTAGGAGAGAAACAACACAACACTGCTATTCTGAGACTTGAAGAACTGTGTCCTTTCCCCCTGGAAGCTCTACAGCAAGAGTTGAGCAAATACAGCCGTGCAAAAGGTCAGCCAGATTTTTACCTTTGTGTTTCTAGACTCTCTGAGATACTGAACTAAATCTGTTGCCTGCCTTTTAGGATGAAGAGTTGTAGTGGCTTTTTCCTCTTTGCTCTTCCCCCTCCATATATCTAGAGTTTCTGGAGTGGGATAATACAAATGTTTACCACTTGTGCTAAAAGAACCTGTCTCTCTGCTGTTGTTAGCTTCCATAAAGCACTACTGAAAATCAGGGTGAACCATTTGGGGCATTTATTGCATTTGTCTTTGCAGTCCAGTCCTTTAAGTAGCTTTTGAAAACAGCAGTAGAAAAGCAGAATAAACCCACAGTATACCCTACTGGTGCACATACTTTTGGTTTGACTTCAGCAAATTGTGACCTGCAAAGGACTTCAATCTGGCAAGCCTTCATTTCAAAAATAGTGCCAAGACAAAAAAAGTAGAGGTGCTACACAAGAAAAAACTGTTTTTCTTGAGCTGCTGAAAAGATAAATATGTGCATTTGTGATGTACCCTTATCCTTCCTTTAGTCTTCACCTGGAGTCAGGAAGAACCACAGAACATGGGTCCGTGGTCCTTTGTGTCACCACGGTTTGAAAAGCAGCTGGGGGTTAAGGTAAGATGTCTCCATGGTGTTTTAGTCTTTAAAATGAAGTTTGAAGTTCTCCTTGAATGCAAAATTCTGTGGTGCTTAGACAGAAAACTAATCCTGATGCCTAAGCCAAATGCGTGTTCTAATTTAAGCTACTTATGCTGTTTATGGCACTATTTAGTGGTGATTTCTTTTAGCCCATGTTTAGTCATAGTAGACAAGATGATGAAAGATTCCAGGTAGGAAACAACATGCTTGAAGAGAGTAGGAGGAGAATCCAAAGCTGCCGTTTGCTCTGGCAGATCATGCACTATAATATTCTTGGACCCATGGTCTTTGGGAGATGGAGGAGAACTTCCTGAATTACTTTGGCTGGGACTGCCCAGCATCTGACAGCAGATATCACCACGGCATCAGAGGACCTCAGGATGCGATCCTATGCTTGTGCTTCATTAATCATTTCCTCCTAACTCAAATTTCAGCTCCATCTTGTGAGTAGACCTCCTTTACCAGCCCCAGCAGTTGGCATTGGAACCTTACACCACCAGCAGCAGGAAGACATTCTTACCAACACATTTATCTAAGTTTTCAGTGGTTGGATGACTCCTCCTGTCAGTCATATTTGGTGCCTCCTCTTGTGAAGAAAAACAAAAGCCAGACCCTTAAGACTTGTAGTTCTTCAAAATGGAAGAAAAGAATGGAACAAGTTCTATAACGATGAAGCAATTTTTTCATGTAGAGGAATACCTAAAATGAGAGGTAGTGCCTGTTACTCTAGATACTTCTTGTTCTCTTGTAGTATTTTCTACAAAACATCTTTTTAAAGTTTTAAAAAAACCCCACAAAAACCAACCAAAAACCAAAACAAAACAGTTCAGGGGACAGACTGGTCAGGTGGCTATAAAATACCTTATATCACGTTGCTTATCTGCACTTGACAGTTCCCTGGGATGGTGCATGTGTGGAAACAGTTTCTGTTTCTACAGAAGTGTTAGTGCTGTTTGGTTGAATAAAAGCTTCCCCATGCCTGGGAATGAGCCATTTCTATGGCGGAGTGTTGTGGATTTTCTCATTTCTTTTCTGATGGGCCAGGAATGAAATCTTTTGCAGCTCTTGGTGCTCTTCTCAACACGTGAGTTGTTAAAGCAGGATTCCTGGGGGGGACCTTGCAGGATGGCTCCTGAAACCTTCAGGCACCACTGTTTCTCTCACGTCGAGAAGCAGTGCTTTCACATCAAACTTGCGGGGTGGAAGGCATGCTGAAGGGATAGTGCCCTATTTTAGAACCATAGTTTGTAGAGGCCAAACCAGTTTCTAGAGGCTAGTCTGAAGAGTAACACACTGCCTCCTACCTGGGAAATTCTTCTCAATGTCTTTCTTCTGGTTTGTTGGGTTTTTTACTTAACCTGAAGATTATACTGTTAAATTGGTCCATTGGTTTAATCTTCTGTGTTGACAAGGAACGTGTAACTTCTCGCTAGTAAAGCCAAAGGGAAGTCCCAGGCTTTTTCCAGTCCCAGGCTACTGTGTTGTTTCACCAGTTCTCATGAATGTGGCCTGTTTTAGAGGCCTTAGTTGTGCTCAGTTTCTTCCTGCTCAGTTCCCACACAAAATCTTGCTCATTGAGTCCAAAACTGTGGCAAGCTAAACAGAAAAGTGCAACAAGGCAGGCTGCAAAGAGTTTGTGGGACAACTTGCTGAAAGTTGTAGTAGTGAGGCCTCTTTCAAATACGCCAGAAGCTGCAAGAGTGAGAGGTGGAAGAATTAGGAGGTCAAAGGGATTTACCAAAAAATCTGCTGTAGCAAAAACCCCCAAACCTCATGGCTTCTTTTAATTTTTTGTTTGTTTGTTTTGTTTTGTTTTGCTGGGGGAGGTCCTCATCTGGAGGCCTGTTGCGAGATTCCTGAGCAAAAGCTCTTCTTTGCAGTGTAGGTATTGCAGACTTTGTTGTGAAAAGACGTGTTAATGAAACAAGTTATAGAAGAAATTGGTGAAAGGAACCGGCAAATGACAAAACAGGAGGCTAATCAGCCAGGTTTTCTGAAGGAGCTCAAACATACAGGTATTCAAGCCATTTGCAGAAGTTCCCAAAATGCACCTTTGCTCCAGCAACAGGATGAGGTGAGCAGGAGAGGATAGTGACTAAAAGGAGTTCAGCTTTAGCCCTCATGAGCAAGGAGTGACCATGGGTCTTCCCCTTGTCACAGCTTCTCCTGAGGGCCCTAAGGTCTCCTGAATCCCATCTTTCCTTCTACCAAGAACAATTCTTCTTCCCCCCACAGTGTGTGGGAGCTCTGCATCCATTTAGAGGACTAGCGTAAAGGTCAACTAGAACTCCACAAGGGACCTGTTAGGGCTCCTAAAAGGCCCTGTTACACCACTGCTCTTGTTCTTCTGCTTGTGTGACTTTTTCAACTAAATGTGTTTGGAAAAAATGAGAAAAGCCCTTTGCTCTCCACTCCCAACTGCTGAGACATTTCTGTAGCCACACACTCCGTACCTCAGCAGTCAGCATTCAGCTCCCAGCTGGAAAGCCCTGGCACTTTCTGAGGGAAAGTTTCAGCACAGCTGTCATCTGGGGCAAGGAAGGAAATCAATCTTTATGGGGAAGCAAAGGATAAATGACCAAAACACTGAGGTTAAGCAGGACAATAATGAAGCCAGATGGCAGAGGGAGGTAAAAGCTGCCCAGGCAGACCCCAGTGTTCACTGCTCTCCTGCTGCCCCACAGCAGCTCTCCTGTCACCACAGGATTTTTCCCGGCACGTTTTCTTTTCTGGTCTAGTTGTCAGTGTGAAGTTGGCACGTCCCTACTCCTCTCGAAGTTATCTGGGGGAGCATGCCTGAATAAACCAAACCCACCATGAGCCAAAGACCCTTTTGAAAAGAAACAAGTGGGGTTTAACCAAATCCAGCGCTTCCAGATGGAAAGTCACAGTAGGTGAGGAACGGCAGATCACAGGCAGGGTGCGTATTCACCTGGGGAAATGGCTCCCACAAACATCTCTGAAGCCTACTTAGGTATTTTATCCTAATTAATTCAAACATTCATTCATTAACTCTGTATGACCCAGGAGTAACCTCTGTAATCTCTATTCTGTAGTCTGTTTCACGTGACTGATTTAGCACATCCATCGCAGTGACATGGAACCATGTTTCTTCCACTTTGCTCTAGCAAACTTCACAACTTCTTATGCATTCTGAACGGCTTTATTTAATCAAGACATATTCCAGTTTAAATTTCTGCTCTGAGATTTCCAAGGATTTCCTGCTGTGCTCCCTGGGCAGTAGACTCTTCCAGGTTGAAGTCGCCTTTTCTGAGAATGGCTGGAGCTCTGCCTGTCCTTTACTTCTGTTTTTAAACATGAATATTGTCTAGTAACAGCAGCTGCTCTTTCACAGGGATATGGTTATGTTTTGTTTGGATTTAATACTTGGGGTGTATACTTCAGTTTGTCAGACACTTTGCCCAGACAGGCACTTGTGTCGTGCTCAGTACTTTTTGTACAATTTATCTCCTGATGCTCTGCTCACAAAGAACCTCTACATCGATAACTACAAAAAGGAGGCTGAAGAGTAACATTGCTTTGGCTGCAGCTGTAGCTAAGGAAGTTGTAGAGCACAACCAGCAGCTTTGACTCCAAGCTGATGATTGCATAAACCCACATTTTTTCACTATGACAGTACACAGAAGGAACAGACCCAGTATTTTGAGTTTCACGCAGCCTGAACCTGGCCTTGTTATGCACCAGTTGTACACCAGCTCTGCAGGTTTGATGATCTAGCCAAGTAAAGGATGCTCGAGTGTTCAGAGCCTGTTTTATCCTCCTGGTGGAAGACACAGCTATTTCTGTAGTGCTGCTCAGCTAAATGCTGCCAGCCCGGAATTGCTGAGCCCCCTGGGGTTGCCGGGATAAGGAAGGGACATCTTCAACGTAGCTCTCCTTGGTATTGCTGTTGCAGATTGCCTGCAGAACATTGCTCCTCCGTGGTGGGTAACAGTTACCAGGAGCAAGACAAAGCACTTGTTGAGTTAGCGGTCAATGCTGTTTCTCCCACCAATTTTGAATGCACACCAGGCTGTTTTCAGTCTGTGTGCCGTGCTCTGCTCTGCAGGCAGACTTGGCTCTCCCTGCACGAGCACTGGATTCCTTTTGCAAAAAAGCATTTCAGAAAAGAGAAGCAGAAGTTAGAAAAGGCCCAGATGAGAGTGCTGCTTGGCAATGGGAGCAAGTTTCCTGCATGTGCAGGAAACTTAATTCAGGAAGGTGGCAGATGAAATGGTACTCACAGGTTGGGTGAGTGGGTAACAGAGCAGGTCCCAGTCCTTGGACAGGAGAATTTTGTGGGTCATTAACACAAGCAGAAGTGCTGTTCGGTAGCAAAAAAGCTAACTAGAAATAGAGGAAGGGTTACAGCATTTGTGCTTTGTGGTGTGTTTGGGATTTTCAGAGGGAAGTGCAAGCCTAGAAGAAAAAAAAGTAAAGACATTGAAGGAATGAGATGTTAGGTTGAGTGGTTCATTAAGACAGCAGTAACTCTCAGTGACAGGAAGAGAACACATCAGGAAAACAAATATGTTAAAAGAAGTATTTTAGTAACAGTGATGTTATTTTAGATTTTAAAAAAAACTAGCCTGAATTTTGAAGGTGCAGTTTTGAACACGATAGTATTGGTTTTGAATGATTAAAGAAAACAATGTTGCTTTTTTTTTTTTTTTTTTACTTCCATCACTGGGAACCCATTTGTAGGTGACACAGTAACATTTCTTCAGCACACCTGGAGTGGTGCATCTGTGTTTGTATGGATTGAAGAAACCTCCTGAACCTTTTATCAATCACTGAAACGTGCCCCAGTGACTTAGAGATAGGAGAGTTTGCTGTGAGCAAGGGAGCTAACACCACCTGTAATTTAGAAGTTCCTTAAGATAAGTATGGCTAAAAAATCTGTACAAAGGATAATTACAAGAAACTTCCTGAAGCTCAGCTATTAACCCAGATATTATTTGGAGATTATAATCAACAAGTAAGATGCTTGGTCTATTGATTATGGGCATTTGTCAGACTATTCGGGAAATATAGGTGAAAGTAATTGGTACAGGGTAGCTTATTAGTATTGGTAAAATAATGACTATTTAAACAGGAAGAAAAAGCCTTTCTCAGTGATTTCAGATAAGGGAGGCTATTGAGCAAAATTCTTTGAAGTTATTGTGGCAATGTCTTGGTTAAGAGGATTTCTTCTCAGGGAATGCAGAATAAAACCCAATATATAGATTCAAGGTTGGGCGTGAGCCCTAGTCCTTCACGTCTCATATTCGTTCTTGGTAATTTAGCCTAAAACTGGAAGAATACAAGCCTATGCATAGGATGAGTTACTCAGAAGAAATATTATTTTAGATTACTGTATCTAAATCCTGCAATAAATTCTCATAACTCTCATTTTACAGACCATTGCCTGTTGTAACTGAGAGCTCTGAAGAAGGTATGACACCAGTTTCAGTGATACCCATTCCCAGTCAGTCTCCATTGTCACAGTTCACCCACAGACCTGTGATTTTATCATATTATCAAATTACCTGTGAAATTATCACACCCACCCATCAATATGGGTGGATTAGGGTACTAGTAAAAGACACCGGTACCAAACCACTAAGAACCGTGTTTTTAAATTCGATACTACTGTATCAACAACATCAAGGAAACCTACTCAAAAACCCCTGAGGGCTAAGAAGGTACGAGCACAGCTGCGATTCAGGGTGAGGAGGAGATAAGTTTTCCTCCTTTCACGAAAGCCAAAACGAAGTCAAAAAATGAGCTGTGGCCCGGGGAGGCGGGG